TTTTCTTTCAGCCGATGTCAGATGGATATCAAATATATGCTTAAGTAAAATATCATATACGTCCGACAAATGTCTTCCAAATGCAGAAGGTTTTTTGATTAAAAGGCACCTTAACTGAGCAACAAAAAGGTGCTCATTCCGGTACACTGGATGTCCAAATACCTCTTTGATAGCATGTTGAACGTCCTCGAAAACATTTATGTGCTACTTGGGTAATGTCATCTACCTTATATTTTAGGCAGTCGCTGCAGATAAGAAACGCTAGTGCTGGCGCGGAAACTACGTTTGCCACTGCAGTTGCGTGTGAAGTGCCTAGATCGGTGCTTTAGGAGGTGCTAGCCGTAATGGCTAGAATAAGTGATGAACAGCACGCAGCTGTACGGAGGGAGCGTAGAGCCACTCAGACCGCTGAACAGCAATAGGCAGCGAATGCTGAGCTCAGGAATAGGAGAGCCGTCCGAGCCTGCTGGGCAACTCCATCAAGGATCGCAGCACTCAGGTGTTGAAAGCCTGGGTGGCTGGGAATTGAACCCGGACCTCCTGCTTGCCAGTGAGGTGTGCTACCATTACCCATTTTGTCGCACCTCTCTATGTCGTCGAAAAAATTACAGTTTGCCGCAGCGAGCACTGTCAGGCTGTACATTTTGTTATAGGGAGGGGGCATTTGTTTCACATTGCTGCCACAACGGAAGAGTGCTCCTGCTGCAACTCACACTTTACCATGAGGTTCTGAAAGTGATGCTCACTGGTGCGAATGTGGCGACAAGGCCTTTTCTGGAATTATTCGTGAGTATTGTGCCGCGCTTGCTCTAACTTCCTTCTGTGCTAAAGTCGGACAAGTTCTTGGAAATGGCCCGTACTGTTTCAGAATCAGTGGTATCTGTACCATAAGCTAATGCTAATAGCCCATGAGCTAATTGGTGATGCAAGAGTATTGAATTTGCTGGGAGAACGAAATCAGCAATGTCGTCTTGAGTCTCAGGAAAACCTACTAAATCGAGGCGTTCACAATGACGTTTGTGGCAGTGAGTTCAAACATCATGATGAATGTGTTTAGGTAACAAAATCTCCCTGTGTACTGTAAGCAGTATGTGTATGAATCTAATGAAGCGGTTCAGTTCCGAATGGGTAATGCGATGAACAGAGGACGTCAAGGAGACGTTATCCTCACAATTGACGATTCAAATTTCCGCCTATTAGACGGCCAGCGTAGCAGCCGCAGGCCGCTAGAAGAATCTCCTGTGGTCCGTGGTGGCAGTGGTGGTGGATGCGCGCGCACACATGACAGACGCATGCGCTCAGCGCGATCGCGTGTGCTCTCCCATAGAATCTTCTGCCTGCCTCCGCATTTTTTTTCCCGACCGTTGGGACTGTCGGATCTATTCTGGAGAACGTAATAGCCCCGGGGATGGGGGAAGAGTTTGGATGACATGAGAGGACGAAAGAAAAATGATGGATGGAAAAATGATGGAATCGAATCTAGGGCCTTCAAATTGCCGGTCGAGTCTGCTATCACTAAACCACCGAACCCAAGCCATTTAGTCGGACCTCTCCACGTCATCCCTAACTTACCAACGGGAAAGAGAGAGGGGTTCTACGTACACCTCCCGCTCTCTTTTTATCGGGGTCCGATACACACTTTTCCGGAAGGATTTGTAAAACGTCCCCGCGTATTACACATGGAGTTCCATTTCATCTCTGGAGAAAGGATTACTTCCTCGCCGGTATGAGATCTCCGCCCATATTTGTATCGGGATCCCGACCCCTTCATCAATCGAAACCCTATCCTCTTATTGTTCACAAGGAGAGCTACTCCCGAGGGTGAAAACGGCAGGATCCCACCTGTATGGCACAGGAGTGCTTACTCTTGGATCGGAAAGACGACGTCGGTGGCGTCGTAACCATCCCTTTTCTTAATCTCCAATTTCTTGAGTGGGCCTGAAGTTCCAGGCCTGCCTTTGCTGAGATTGCTGGGCCTACGTACGTGATAACATCACGTCGCCCTTGCATCATGGCAGTGTAACTCAAGTTCCGGAATCCCACAATGATGTCCCCTATCAATTTTATTGGTGGTTCTCACTTTTTACCATTACGGTACACTCAACTGTTTAGTATGATTTAAATAGTAGAACCAATATGTATCTGGAAATTAGGAAGACGACTCTGGTGAACATTCCTAAAACTGTGTATGACGGTGAGTGGAAGGATGGCATAATGTCTCGCTTGGAAGAACGGCGGTAACAAGAATGGAAGAGTGAGATGTGGACCGCTCGAGGATAATCGGACTTCAGGCAGACACGGAGAATCGGAGAATCGCATCGAGAATCCAGGATCTATTCATTCTCCATTTCTTTAAGTTCTATCCTCGACATCGCTATCCCTTTGGAATCTTACGCAGTTGAATCGCTGCTAATTTTCCTATGATGACCTTAGCGTTTTCACTGGTGATCCTTTTCTACCCATTCCTGGACGCTCTTTCCTAACTAGTGGCAAGTAAACCTGCTACAAACCGGTGGACACAAATTGCTCTGGACAGAGTCATCATGATCCTCAGAGATTACCTCAGAGATCATTCCACGCGGCATTTCAGCACGTCAACGGAGCATGGTGCCCAATGAACAAAAAAAAATCCTGTTTCTACTTAGGGTTGTAGTTTGAAAGCAGCATACCGGGAACCCACCTTCCAGCCCTAGCGAGAGTGTATCCCGCTGCAATCTACAACATTCCCTACTCAGTATAGGCGCACAGACGCGAGACTACATCCAAGGGAATGAACTAGCCAAATGTGGGGGAGTCTCAGTCTCAGAAACATGAACGGCTAGCATCGTACATCAGCTCATGTGAATGGAGGAATACGGGGAGGTGCAGCAAGCATCACATTCACCAACTGAAAATCACGTTTATTTGCTGCAAGCTCCAGTGCCCTCAGCAAGCTCATCACAGTTTTAATTTTTTTTGCATTTACCAAATGCGACTGTGATACGGGAAAACAATGCAACCTCTGAAGAACTCTCGCGCTCGTCGGCTTCCTCGCGTCGTTCTTCAGCGCTTTCAAAGGACTGAAGGTGATACAAGCACAGAGGAAAGAGCACGTCATACTGCAATACTGAAATTCTGCATTTTGAGAGATGAACCCTCACGAGGAAACTGCGGCTATGGACTGCATTGCGGAGCCGTGTGAACGCAAGGGACAACGAACTAAGCACCGAGGAAAGAGCACGTCATACTGCAATACTGAAATTCTGCATTTTGAGAGATGAACCCTCACGAGGAAACTGCGGCTATGGACTGCATTGCGGAGCCGTGTGAACGCAAGGGACAACGAACTAACGAATCGCTGCGTATTTCATCATGAACGCTTGAAATTCTTAGATTCACCGCAGCAGGCGGGAAGCACTGCAATGAGCAATGCCAGCGTTCCCATTCGAGCACCAGGGCAACTTTGGTCTCCTCGTTTATCCGAAAATTGGCGAGACGAGAATGAATTGATTGAAGTTGACTCCCCTCCCTTTCGCGGGCCTATTTGCAAATTTATTGCAGATGAAATTGAAGATTTTTTTGGAAACTCAATAGCATCCAACTACGTTCAAATACGTCCAATCGGAACTTTTTCTCATGGTTCGTCATAAGCCAGTTTAGGCATTAGGCTTTGAGAATGCAATCCTTATGTTTATTTGCCCATTTTATTTGGGACTAGAATGTTTCATTTTAAGTACATGCACGAAACATTGGGCATGGGTGCTGTAAACAATTCTCAAAATTAGTCAGCCATTAACTAATCAAATGCGTTATTTATCAATGAGCTTTGGTAGAGCCCATTACCTTTCTTCAACCCCTTCCGGCGACAAAATTCAATCGTCTAGTGCTCCTCTTGAAGAGAAACAAGAGGAACAAGATTTGGCATACTTCTTCCTCTCGCAACACAGAATTGCTCCAGCGAACTTTCGGAGATGTCGATTTCATTCAGTTTTTTTTCTCCCCCCCCCCCTGGGTAGCCACTCCTAGGAAGTTTTCATAGAAAAGGAACTACCGAATGAAAGATATTGACCTAGAGGTGACCCAGAGTGTCCTTTTTATTGCTTGTAGGTCACCATTTCGCCATAAAAAAAATGAAATTAGATGACGTTAGTTTAGGCTTAGCCTGATGGCTCCGGTCCCGTCCTCCAGTGTTGCCTGATATCGTGCCTTAGTTATAAAACATTCATGACTCTTCGACCTTACAATTGGTGTCTAGGTCTTCTGTTTTTTAATGTATGAGATTATTATATGTCGAGTTCATTAGATGAGCTGATATTGAAATGGTGGCTAGCAGTGGCCGATCGATTTGGTGTGATGAGGAGAAATCACATTCGGGTAACCGTAAATTAACGGAATGGCGGCCAGCTGTATGTCATGCTTTCAAAAGGCATTTCCTTCTCGGAACGAGTCGAGACGATTCGAGGAACTCTGGATAGGCCAAAGTTCCATGTCCGCACCAAAACGGTTCATGAAACTCGAAACAGACGTACAAACGGTCTAACGTTACACGTTCTCTATGTATGGGTGCGTGCTTGAATGAAAAATAATACCAAACTTGAAACCAAATTTATTTCCCTCCGGTTTGCCAAGACTTAGTCTGCATGAAGTCATCAAGACGAGTGCTGGAATTATCTAAGGGCGATCGAGGCCTTTTCAAGCCTGGCCTTGATCTTGATCCGACTCGCCGATCGCTTCGTTTCCCACCACCCCGATGTAATCCATATGGCCACGTAGAACGGGATCGGATCTACGCATCTCATGTGACGAATAAATCAGCAGGCAATTTCATCCATTGAAATAGGATAGGGAGGGAGTAATCGGGGGAATGATCAGCGTTTGCATAGTTAATACATTCGCTACCCGGTGGGACTGAGTATTGATTACCATGATTGCTCTCCATCTATAATTTCTGATGCCAGCGTATAGAAGCGAAACGCATTGGAGAAATTCACTGTTCGCATCATGTTCCCCCAGTTAGGCTCATGTACCAGGCGGGACCCCTCCGACGGACGATGAGAACCAAGTTCCTATCATCTGTTTTCATCCACTTTGCTTTACTATGGAACATTGGAAAGGTGTTGCAAGTGGATGGCAGCGAGGAGGAGTACAGGCTGCAAAAGCATCTCTTCGGGAACTACCGCAAAATCCGGCCTGTGATGAGCTCCCGGGATCCTCTAATCGTCTCCTTCATCCTGTCCCTCTTTCGGATTCTCCGGTTGGTGAGTGTCACCAAGATTCCACTCGTGTTGTATTATAAAAGGTCAGGGAATCTTTTAATCAGAGACCTAAACATAGGTATGTTTTCAAAAAGGTTTGGCGTACTTTGGCTTGTATATTCTTTAATTTAAGAACATGATTTCACGAACCAATCAATGCCAATTTTCATTGCAATGTAAGCAATGTCGCTCCCTGCTGTAAGGAGTAATCACTCATTGTAATCAAGTCAATAAAAAAGGACAAAATGAAAAAAATTAAAATGTGGATATTCTCATAGAAAAGCTCATCAAATTCTCATTATCCAAGCTTTCTTGCGGAACTGAAAGTGAGGATTCGCAATCTAACGGGCATCCAGGCAAGTCACGCATCACTTGAAAAAGTAATTGGTATTTTTAAAACCTCAAAAGCTGCAATTTGCATCGACGTATTCGAGTCGCCAGGCATATTTGTTGTCTCATTTTATTTCCATCATTCTATACTGTACATAAGTAACTCCTTCTACTCTAGCTTCAGTTTCGTTCCTAAATTGCCACAATACAGAAACGTAATAATTATTCTCTCAGTCCAGAAAATTGGATGCCGCCTACTGCCTTGTACGACGTTAACCTCGAAGGTCAACGACCTTACTTTTATGAAACCCTGCGACTATCCTTATAAGAGGCCGTAAGAAAGAGTATTTCTACGTATGAAGGAATATAATGTTCTGATTCACAGGACGAGAGGGACCAGTCAATGGCCATCCTTGTAGCAGTGGTCGAGCGCTGGAATGATACCCACCTCCAATGGAACCCAGCCGATTATGATGGGATTCGGGAGACCGTAACCCTCTACGAATCCGCTTGGGTTCCGGATATCATCCTCTACAATAGGTAAACCTGCCGTTATTCCTCGTGAACGAAGGTGATTATGAGAATAATGAATTGTTGTACTTCCCTTCCAAGTGACCCAGAAAGAAGTCATTTTTGCTCTGTGAAAGAATTATTGATTTCTCATTTCATTTTTCTTGTAATTTAATATGATTGAAATTGATTCGTCTTTTTCCGTAGAATACGGATTTCATTCAATAGCTTTCCATCGAAGACATGAAGAAGAAAATTAAACAAGTAATGACTTTACTTTCATGGTAGCATCATAACCATTCGTTTGGTAACCACTCAACTCAGAGACACCGTTAGCGCCTATTTTGCTTCGAAAAATTGAAACCAATGAACCTCTTTCACATTTGTAATGATAGTCAGTTGGGTAATGATAAAATAAGATTACACAACGGATAAACTCCCTAGTTTGAAATATACCTTCTTCAACTTTGAGAAACTCATCAGGGGAGAGTTAAGCAGACTATTTTGTAGTCCTCCACTCTGAAGAGGAAACGTTATCATTATTTTATCTTATTTCATCATAAAATGAATATAAAATTTCCTCTTCAGAGAGCAGGACTGAAAAACAGTCTGCTTAAATCTTCCCTGATGAGTTTCTCAAAGTTGGAGAAGGTATATTTCAAAATACGGAGTTTATTTGCCTTCGGGCAAAGAAACTCGCTATGGACGCTCCTTCGGTGCATCATGATCAAAGAAAATTACAAATGCATTTAAAGCATTCGTTTTTGAGACGCAATCCTAATGACGCGGTCAAATCCTTCTTTAATGGGTTTGGCAATTCTCGCCCGTTCAGCGCTCACACCTCATAATGAAGTTCCTTCAGAAACTTTTATAGCGACGTTATATTACTGTATTTCTAGCCTGAGGGTCATCGAGTGAAAATTCAGCGCGCTACTTGGTCTTCCAATATTGCATTTATTTCCTGTCTGTGGCGGTCAAACTCTTCTTTGCATATAAATCTCCAAAAGCATATAGTGGCACACACAAGTTCATTGCTTCAGCGTTTAAACGCAATAATTATTCGTGGACAATGGAGAGTTTGATCGTTATATCCATATTTATATTCGGGCACAAGGACTCAAAGAAAGTCCCCTTTTCAAACTCTTCGTAAAGATACATACATTTGTCAATGAGAAAGTACATCATTACGTAAGTGAAGCGCACAGCTATTCATGTTCCCGATTCGTTGAAGGAAGTGTGTAAATAGAAATAGCATCGACCAAAGCGTCCGTAATTGGATTGGGCATAGCTACTCAAAATCGCAATGTGTAGGGAAAATCATCCAAGCCGTTTCATTGCTGAGAATATACTGTAAACCTGTATGTAATACAGTACATTCGCATCCGCAAGCGAACCGGTACGCGCAAACCCTTGTCCTTCCACCTAGTCCATGACAAAGGAAGACATAGGTCAACTAAGACAGTCCCCTCAGGGCACCCTCCTTCGAAGTCAAACTTAATCTGTAATATGCAATCCAACAGCTATTTGTTTTTCCTCCCGCTTTCTTAAAGGAAGAAAGTGTATGGTCGTGGTCTTAGCCATAGCGTCCCTCCGTGGATAAGGCCTCAGCCTACGAAATCAGCACCCCCCCCCCCTCCGGAAATGTGCCCCCAAGGCATTTACCTCCGAAGTCAGACTTATTCTGGAGTCAGCACTCCTGAACAGATATTCGTGAAGCAAGTTCCAGCCTCTCATTATTTCTAGAATATGGTTAGAATTAGCGTTAGTCACTCACGATCGTCCATATACTTGCATACTGGATGAATATGAGAAACCATTGAATCTGGCAATGTCATTTTGACCATTCCATGCCAACTGACCACATGGCTGACACTCGACCATCTCAGAAAAAAATTTAACATTCAGATCTAACACATTTTTAAATATTTTTATTTCCGTTAGTACGTGAGATATTAACTTCGAAAATTTCGGTGCCCGGATGTTCGTAATTCGGACTTCTCACTTGAATGTTGAAATGTGGAAACAAAAATTGGCATTCCTGCGATTGAGGGCTCCCTGATTATGTAATGCATCCCTTATTATTGATCCAATGCATGACAATTTAAAATTTGAACGTATTCCCTTTAGAATCCTCAGAAACTGAGCTCATAAAAAAAATATTTTGAAATGAAATCGGGGAGTTTCCCAATTTCCACTCCTTCGTCTGACATCCGAGAGTTCCAATTGTGTAGAGTGTCTCATTTGATTATTATTGCACGGAACTCCATGACATTTTGCATATAACAAAATCAGGGCCTTTGAGGGACAGGTGAACGACGGGACGCAGCTGTCATTATCGATCCGAAATATGGATTCAAAATTCCAACTGTGAGGTTCATTCCAATGTTATGGGACATGAGTCGTTTAACCTCAAAAAAGAAGACGGGAATGTTCCACAGGTAGCAGCCAGTGTACGATATTAAGCTTTACGAACTTAATAAAGCTTCTGCCTTATTAAGCAGAAAGGCCCAAAAATTTATGCAGGCAAGTTTATTCTCCGTCAATAACCAAAGTCGATTCAGGTAAGCTTTAAATTAGCCTTTTAAGGGGAATAGAACAAGAAGAAAAACTCCAAGGTTTGCAATGCAAGAGGGATAGGAATGCGTTTCATCAGAAGCAATACATTTTTACTGTCGCTTCCCAGTCATTAGTCTCCACATTGAAGGAAGACAACCTAAAATAAAATTCCTAAATTGCCATTACATGGGAAAAATTTAGTATGCACTCTCAGAATCAGTGCAGACATTTTGTAGCAATCTTTAGTTCCTGAGTTAATTACGACTGTCCTCAATTAGCGCATCCGAGACATACTTGAAAGGAATTGTGACAACGAATCTCATCGTGGAATATACCGGGGAAGTGATGTTAGAGATGGTGGCACACTTCCGCTCCTCTTGCAACATTAACGCCAAGGGTTTCCCATTCGACAAACAGACCTGCACACTGCTCTTCATGTCCCTCACCCAGGACCAAGATAAGGTCTGTGCATTAGTCACTTCGTCATCGTTAAGACCAATGGTTCCCAAGCCACCTTTTACTCACTTTGAACCTTCAAGCTTCCAGTGGTACGCCTACAAAATTTTGGGAACCGCTGGTTTAGACCAATCCACAATGCTTGTCACCGATCAGATCCAGATGAGAGTACCGAATGACCGTGGAGCCGAGCTTGTGGCATACAAAGAGAGTGCAGAATTCAAGTTGGAGTTGATTACGGTTGCGCAAAGGAACTATACAGATCCGTGCTGTATTCTTCCCTTCTCTGCTGTGGAGTACTCCATCACCCTCTCCAGAAAGGGAATGTTCTTTCTCGTCATCAACCACGTCCTCCCGATGGTCGTCATCAATATCATCGGTCAGAATTTTGAGAACTTTCCTTATCCTGGCTTCATGACGCTACACAAAAAATATTATGACAGACTAAATCGTCCTCAGTGTGATGCATTTTTTGCAGCATAAAAATTCTAAAAACTGACAATAATATCACGTGACTTATGGGTTACTAGGGGTTTCATAGATCAAGATTTACATTCATCCTTCCCCACATTGGAAACTAGGGAAAGAGAACATTCGCTACTGTTGTCCTCACAGTTTCTACCCTCCTGGCAATTGAATCTGCATCTCATGGCATCATAATAGGTCCAAGGTCCCAGAATAAATGCAGAATTATTGGTCAAGAAATGTTGATGCTGCTGAAGCGCATCACATGTAGGAAAATTTGATCCGCTGAATACTCTGTGTATATTCATTACATAAAGCATTGGGAGAGCGCAGTTATCCGCACACGCAGCTAAAAACTATGATGTAACTCGCCGAGTAAAAATTGTTCATGTTACGATTTTTAAGGAAGAATATTTTAACGTGCCAAGGGGAAATTAACCTTATTCGCCCGTTGTTATGAATGCGATAGGTTGTGACATCCATATAAAAGCATAACATCAAGGGGATGTGAGTGGATGCATCGCCACAACCGATCAAAATTCATCGATTCAAAATGATGCCCCGTCTCCCCATCTTACCTCCTGCCAAGTACGCTAGGGAAATGATCTTCAAAGTCTCTCTTTTTTAATTCTCTCACATATGCAGTGTACTAATTACTTGTGAGCATCGGAGATTGGTCTTAAGTATTTCACATTTGGGTTCGTGAAAGAAGTCATTCGAACAAGCTCAATGCCCCTTGTACTAAAAAGCGAGATTTAACAGAAGGTTCTTCAACTGGAGAAGACATCAGGAAAAATAGTCCTTTCCAACGAGGTCTGACCACGTGACCAGATGCAATCACCTTCCGGACTGGACATATTCAGGGCCCAAGGAATCTGCATAGAAGAATATCGTTATGAGATGACGATCCGCAGCTCTGAGAATGTCGATACTATGTCTGGGATTTATAATGTTGAAGGAAGTGTTTTAACGTATTATTCATGGTTACGTTAAGTTTGATGGACTTCTACCATAAATACCCAACGTGGTCACTGCTTCGTTTCAAATATAACAGTATATCTCTAGATTGTATTCATGGCCATACACGTTCATATAGCCCATTTCGTACGATGAAATAGTAATATATGGGTATTACGACAGTATTTAATGAACATATCCCCATAATAATATTGCATATTTAATAAAGAACATTCAATATTATTAATCCGATATGTTTCCATAATGGCAGCCCTTCTGGCGTTCCTGGTGCCATGCGAGAGCGGGGAGAAAGTGACGCTTGGGATATCCACCATGCTGAATATGATTATCTTCCTAACTAGCATCCGGGACCTCCTCCCACCCACCGAAGATATTCCGCTTATAGGTTGGCCTCCCCCTACCTTCACACCATTCAAAACTCATTGGGATAATATATAAATTCCAAGGAAAGGGGAGAATACTTCGTCCACTGAGTTTACTTACTTGAGCTGTACACTTGAGTGTACAACTTAATAAATAATATATTTTCTAGGAAAAAGCTTTATATAGCCGAGAAGGCATTTAAAACTAAAGGAGATTCAACCCCTAAGGAGTAAAGGACAAAAGCTTAAACATTACAGGAACACAAGTTATTAATTAGAACAAAATGTACCACCTCTCATTATATTTACATCAAAGTAACAAGAAAATGCAACAAGAAACAGACAGAACTTCTTCCTAGTGTCTGAAATAAAAGCATTTTCAGAGAGGGGATGTTCAACATTGCTACTCTTTCTAAAGGGAGATACTACTGCGTGTGCATCTGTCTGGTTGGATTGGAGGTGGGCTTGAGCATCTTCACGCTTTATCTTCATCATTTGGAGGGAGTCCCTTTCCCCCGGAGCATGCAGAAATTCTGTCAGATTTTGGCCAGAATGCCCTTCATGAGAATGTCACAATTCATCGAGGTCTGTTTCTGCTTTCTCCTTCCAAATTGACCTACAGCCTCTGGCTCGGTCACACTTGCAGGTTAACCCTACACGACCTAATACTGCAACCCACTTCTTCTTTTCAGGAATAACATTCCATCGCAAAACAAATGAATGAATCAATCTTGAAAATTTGCATGTCTAGCCTCATAAGTTGATCGTCTGTATCCTCAGATCATAACCAATTGTAGTAATTGCGCAAGTGAGACTGCCACGGATTGTCTCACATTACTTATTTCAAATGGGACGAAGGCAAAAGAATACAACTTCCTTCAATCGTGCATTTGCAGGCTTGACGAGTGGTGGATTAAGAATATATGAAGGAAAATGCTGTGAAGCACATTTTCTGCGTCAATATTGGAAGTGTGAATCACAGTTGATATTTTTAGTCATCAATAAACATGCCACAATATCCACAGTTTTGAGGTCATCGCTTTTTGTGCCCTTATGGACTAGAAAATTGTGAATGTCATGGGACTTACCCATAGAAGTACGACAGACGCGTTAAGTCTCTCATAATATGGCAATTTTAATGATCCTTCAACAGGTTGAAAACGGAAAGGAGAAGAAGATGAAGAAGAAGGGCAAAGACATGGTAGAGATGAAGGAGGCTGGGGCTGAACGACTCTCCTTTCCGCTTTTCTTCGACGATCTGATTCGACTTTCCAAAAAACAGCCCAGAGATGAAACCCACGGCAATGGTACATTCTTCGTTTTTTATTAACTCCTTTTGGAGTGATAGAATTGAGTGGAAGGAGTCTTATGAAGTATAATGCATTTTTGCCTCAAAATAGAATTGATGAATAGAGTTCCTTCGTGAGGATCTTCCTGAAAAAAAATCAGAACTTTCTATGAAATGAAAGATATAAATCGTTATGCAGAGTGTTTCAAAAGTAACTTCGCAAAATACAAATATTGACTTTTGTTGGGAATTTTTTTTCTAAGAATCTATTACTTGTTAGTGATCAATACGAATAAAAAAACCACTAAGCACATCACATGTAGCAGAATACTTCAATATGAGAAGGACCATTCTTTACCGGTTAACTGAAAGAAAAGTACAGTTAATGAGCATTATGGGTGATAGCTCTTTCATTTCCCTGAACGGTCTTTTTTTTAGCACCCTATATTTATATACCTGAACGCTGCAGCCTCCTTTAGTTAACGGTTCTTTAAGAATGCAAATACTTCAATGAGGGTAAAAGAGATCTTTATTTTAAAGGTCCTTCAACTCCCTAAATGAGGTTGGTGCATTCGGCCCTTAGATGATAGAAATACCAGACTGCTAAATTTCCCGACTCTATGTATCACAGAGCGGGAAACAGAGATCTCGCCTAACAATGACGAGCAACAGAACCAGGAGCGGAAGGAGGAGCCGAGGATGATTCGAGGACAACCGGATTTCTTGGCCCACCTGGAGAATTGGAGAATCGCCTCTAAGATCCTGGATCGGTTCTTTCTCTTCCTCTTCGCGGTCCTCAATGTTGCCATTTCCATTGTCATCATGGCATGTTCTGGCGATTGAAATGTGGCAATTTCCATCGCGTTTGTTTCTGCAGTTTCACATGTGATACCTCTTACCCCTCTTCTTTGCTCGTCGCGTCACAATCTGCTTCAGGGTCAGCAACATTGTAGGTCTCCCTGTTCCTATGTTCAAGAGAAACATGTTCACCTAAATCCCAGCGATCCTAGAAAGTGTTTGTATTGCTCCCCATAATCGAAGTTAGTGAGAAAAGGAAAATTGTTCCGGCGACAGTTGCTAAGAAATTTTGAGGGATTTGCACACATATTCGATTGCTATCGCCCATTTGTGCCCCTAACATTTTCGAGTGGGGATTTCGAGCAATGCCCTCTGTCATCCTGGAAACATGCTCAGTTCCGTCGACGATATGCACTAGTTTTCCAGTCTTTAGATGTTGGCCGGAAGGAAACGTATGTCTTCCCACGTAATAGGGATCCATTCTGAACGTACCACAATTCCTTGATGGATATTGCACTGTGCTTGAAAACGTTTAGATAGATTAGGTGAATGATCTGGATAAAGGAACAATTTTCAGTAATTTTCTGTGGCACACATGCGGGAGAAAAGCACATACGTCGCAGTACCGAATTGTGACGCTATTCCGGAGAGTAGGAAAATTTACTTCATGCCATTCACCGAATGCTCCGATTCATACCAGTTCATAGAACTTCACTGAATTGAATAAATGTCATTAGCAGCTAAGTCTTACTTTTTTTTGCCTAATTGATTGATGTCCGCTTGGAACACCATTGTGAAAACGAAAACTGGACCTATGCCCAAAACTCGATAAAAAGTTAATGCATTCATTAGCCCAAATTGACACCCAAAATAGGCCAATACTACTCCAGTAAAACCAGATGTTCGCCTAATGTTGGGTCAACATAGGTACCCTATGTTGGCTACATCTTTGCCAATATAACCTTTAGGGGGTGAATATTGACGAATAAATGTCTCCCCAATATGGCAATTCCTTCAATCCAATATCGGACCAATACGATGACCGAATGTCTCCAAGTTTATTTTTTTAAATGTTAGAGGAACGTTGATGTTCTCCAGAAAACTAGAAGGTCCCGTTGGCCTCACTTTCCTACACAACATAAATGTGCCATTTCCTATTTCATTGGAAACGTCATTCACAAGAAAGTCCAGTACATCCTCATATGTTCTGCCTAGTCTATTTGTAGAAATACATAAGACTTCGCTTCATCTTTAATTGTTCTCATATTTCGAGAGAGATTCATGAGCCCAGATCATAAAAAAATCTTGACGCCTCAATGAGACGTCCTTAAAGAAGCCGCTTTGTTAATCCTAAAGGAATCTCAGAACCCAATAGGTAAATAGGAAAGAATCATTTTCCAGTTTCTTTACTTTAAAAAGAAAGATTGATTGAAGAATTTCAGTCAGTAGAGTGGAAGACAGCACCTTATTACGAGAACTTTTCCTGAGGAAGAGGAAATACAAACTTAATTGTGGCATTCTTCAGAAAACGTGTTTCATGGATAGTAAATCGGGACTCCTCCGCATTCTTAAGATGGTGCGAAAACATGGCATGCACTGTTTCTGCAAAGCTATTATTTCCTGATCTTTACCTTCAACACACCAACATATGTGAGGAAAAAGAAGGAAAAAAAATGATTTTCCTGAAGCAACTTAAGACCACTCCTGCGTTCCACCGCTGACTGCATGCGTAAAAAGAATACGGATTTCGAAAGAAATTACGCCAGTTCAAAATTTTCCCAATATCTAAAGGTATGACTACTCAAGTAAGACATTCACAAAATCAATTCAAGACTTATATTGAAGGAAGACCTGGCGGCTAATCCGTTACGAATATGCTCCAAACTGTCTCAAAAGTAAAATCATTAATCGACCATACGAATCCCTGCTTTCCTTGTCAATGAGCGTCCAAAACAACGTGCAATTTATTTGTGGTGGAATATTTTGATATCTGAATCATGAAGTCCGAAAGAATTTTCGGAAAGAAGGCATTGGACCACTGAAAGAGCCATGCACTCTGGAATCCTTGACATGATATGTCTGCGACTTCAACTTGACACATTATGAATTGATCACATGATTTAGCTATCAAATTCTTCATAGAACCATTTGAAAGATCGCGAAACATTGAGCACTAGCTGGTACCCATGAAACATTCACGTCTTCGTCTTTAAGGTTAATGGATTTCTGTTTCAAACAATCTAAATCAAACACACAGCTGAAACTTTTCACGGCCATATTTCGAATCAATAACATTGCGTGCGCCCCGCCATTCCCCTCCTCCTCCCTTAAACCAATCCCAAAATTACCCTATATTAAAAAAATACATGTTTGGTTCTATAACATTCAAATGGGACAATTTGTACGGATTCAAAACTTTCGTGTGTCAAATGAAGGAGGGAAGATGCTTCCCATCTTCATAGATCTCAAATTTCCCTTCTTAGTCTCCGAGTTTTAACTCCATTGGACTGACGGATCGGGCGGCAGCGCGGTCAGGAATCAAGTTTCCTGCTAGGTGCAGGCGAATATGCTATGAGAAGGATTATTTGCAAAAAAGGGCACCTCGTTCCGTCAGCGCTCGATTCGATCACGTCAATAAATGACGTCACTCTCGGGCAAGGAACTAAAAGTGGAACGCAGTGAACTATGAGAGCACGGAACAGGCCAGCATCAATTTGACGTCATGGGACGTCAGATGGAAGCCTCAGCAGAGCCGGTAGAGTCGCTCAGAAAAAAGACGAACCCACAGACACAGAGTCCCGAAGTTTAGAGACCTAAGCGGGCTGCGAGCCGGCCCGATCGGCCCGACCAGACCCGCGGGTAGGATCCACTAAAATCTCGGTTCGACGATCGAATTTCGGGTCGAGTAGTCGGGTAGGACCACGACTCGAATCGGGCCGATCGGGTCGGATTCAGAAGAGTCGACCCGTGCAGGCGTCCGGCGGACAGCCAGGAGTACGTCGTTTATTATTATGTAGATGAATCTCACTAAAAAAAAAAAGGTCTAAAAATTTCAAGTGAATTACTGAATCTATCCACATTTTCTGACCTCAAACTTCTTTGAGATTGACTGAAATGCTTGCCATGAGGAAGCCTTGGTTTAACAAGTCTCTGTTTCAGTTGCACAACTTTTTCATGCAGAAGCTGTGTTTATGCATGTATGATTTCAGATATCTATTGACACTTTAGACTCATGCAATAGCTTACGATCGTATTGCGCACTATTTGAAATTGTCTTCAACCGGGGCAATTCAATTATTGATGAGACATCCGGACGAGCCAAACACGTCTAACCATTACTTCAATCACCATAATTAATTAAAATAATTAATTAATCTCAAGCCCCTCAGGAAACGAATACTGTTGTTGACACATTCTCCTATGAGCATGCATGCTGAAACAATGAGATCCGGATTGTGACTTGGTCTTGATCCTGCGTCAGCCCATGGATCGGGTCTTTCTTTTCCCTCTCCTTTCCTTCGCCAATTGTACTGAAAGCCAGTCTATTGTCCCCAATATCCATCCAGTAACATAAGAGGCTGAGAATCTCTCTGTCATTCCGGGAAACTCCTTCTAGACGGATGAACGGATTTTCATGAGTGAGGTGTCAATCGAAAGCTTAGGACCCGGAGGCGATACATATTGGGTCAAAAGTCTAAAGAGTACGCTGCGAACGTGGTTTCTACCGGTTCTCCTGTCTCTCTGCGCGTCAGAGGCCTGCACGAGTTCACTTTTTTGAGTTGAGACTCGACCCGATTCGAATCGTGGCCCACACCAATCGCGGAACGCGATCGTCTGTCTACCAAGCCTTGCTGCTTCGAGCCGCGGATCGTGTTGCGCTAAATTGGCTGACCCGCAGCCCGCTTAGGCCTCTAAACTTGATAACTCCAAGTCTCTGATGACGTATTTGCCCCCTGGGGGGGACGGGACGAAAGGACCCTCGCAGATCTGCACAGAAACGCATTTTCGGGGGGAACGGTTCAGAATGAAGGGCATTCTGTGCAAGCAGACATGGTGGCGAAACGTGTCTTAGGCATGGGAAACCGTGCAAGACAGTTATATCGGGAAATCTGAAACTCATGAAAACTTTCCTATACGCCGGAAAAAAACTATTACAGTCAACTCTCGTTAATTAGAACGCCAGTAATCCGGACCTCCCTTTAATTCGGACACGAAGAATGTTCCCGGCAGAAGTCCCATGGAACTATTAATAAAATTATCCTTTTAATCCGGACGTCAGAAAGATCGGCTACATTGTGGAAAGCATTGGTGACTAATTCCAGCTGTATTAGGGATTGACCCGCTATAGTGACAACTGTGGCGCTATCTATCGTCGGTTCTGCGATTCCATGCTTTAAGCCCATGTCAGATGGATAGAACTGATATGCTTCAGGGTAACATCTTAAACGTTCGACGAATGTCTTTCAAAGGCAAAATGTTTCGAGACTAAGAGGCTCCATAATTGAGCGCCAAAAACGTGCTCATTCTGATACATTGGATGTCCAAAGACCCCTTTGAAAAAATGTTGAGCGTCCTCGAAAACGTTTATGTGCTACTTAGGCAATGTATAAAAATATGTATAAAAACTACAGGTCTCATTTGACACGAAATAATCTTCTGCACTTGATTAGTGATTGGAGCGAAGGAGGCGAATGCGAATGGAGGCGAACAAAAATAAAGTATGATGGAAACACGGCACAGCGACGATCCGCAAGTCACCGATTTCTTTTTCTTTGTTGGCAAGATCCCAGCACCCAAACGGTACATCTGTATTTTTATGCCATCCACCAATGCGACTGGGACAGGAAAAGCAATCCAGCACTTTGAAAAACTCACTCTCGCCGACCTCTTTGGGTTGTTGGAAAAATTCTGCTAATTGCATTAAGAGCCATGGAAACTAAACGAGGAAATTAAAGTGATGGGCTTCTTTGCGAAAGCCCGTGTGAACGCATGCGGTGACGAGCTGAGGAATAACCTGGTATTTCATCATGGATCCTTGAAAATTC